TTTCCAAAGCAGAATACCTAATGCCAAGCGCTCCATAGTGAGTATCTATGAGATAGATGAATACAAAGCTTCACGGTAAATCTTCTCAAAATCAATCTGCAGGTTTCTGTTTTGTTGGGTGTGGCAATGCTTGGTTCATGGAAGGAAGCCAACACTGCACTTTTACTTAAAGAAGGACAAGACTCTCTTTTAATTAAGAATTATAGACCAATTTCACTGTTGAACAATGATTATAAAATATTTGCTTCAGTGCTGGCAGAAAGGTTAAAAAAAATCTTGCAGAAATTTATTCACCATGACCAATGTGGATTTCTGCCTAAAAGACAATTAAGAGACAATGTCAGAGTCATGCTGGATATTATAGAATATCTACAATGTCATAATGAATGTCAGATGCCTCTTATTTTTTTGGATGCAGAGAAAGCTTTTGATCATTTGAATTGGATGTTTATGTTTAAAGTTTTGGAAAGTACAATACCTCGGTTCACGAACGCTTCTGTTCACGAACAATGCAGTTTGCGAATAGCAGCGTTCGCGAAACTTTGCTTCCGTTCACGAACTCCGCATCGGGTAACGAACACAACCCGCGGCCATCTTCCCTGCTCTGACACGTGGTCATGGCTTCCTCTAGGTGAGATTGCAGTCGCAGACAGATACTTGCTGTGAAGCTTTCTGGTGTCGCCTCAAGCAAGGTTAGTGTTCTCTCTCTTCATACTGTACTGTACTTTGTTTCATATTTTTTTGGTTAAAAAAAAAATACATAGGTTCAGAACGGACTAACCTTATTTACATTGAACCTTATGGGGAAATTTGATTCGGTTCAAGACCAATTCAGTTCGTGACCAGAATCGTGGAACGAATTAAGTTCGTGAACCGAGGTACCACTGACTTTGGAGAACATTTTATACAGGGAATAAAGTCAATTTATCTGCCTCAGAAGGCCAGTATTATTGTGAATGAAGAATTAACTGAATCATGTCATATACAAAAAGGAACAAGACAAGGTTGTCCATTATCGCCTTTGCTCTTTATTTTGGATCTCAAAGTTCTTTACAAAGACATTAGAAGGGACAAACAAATAAAGGGCTTAAAGATTAAACAAGAGGTTTTTAAATTGAGAGCTTTTGCTGATGACTTAGTTTTGATATTACAGGACCCTCTGGAATCTGCTGAGCATTTGAAACTGAAGGAATTTGGTTCACTGGTGGGTTTTAAAGTAAATAAACAAAAAACAAAAATGTTGGCCGTACAGCAGAATTTTAATTTCATTCCATGGTATTTAAGATATGGAATGAAATTAAGTGAAAAAAAGATGAGATATCTGGGGGTGATTTTGTCAAATTTGGTTCACTGGTGGGTTTTAAAGTAAATAAACAAAAAACAAAAATGTTAATTAAAAATATGACCCTGCCTAATCAAGATCTGTTGATGAGCAAGATGGGTTTCAGGACTGAAAAAAAGATGAGATATCTGGGGGTGATTTTGTCAACTAAAAATAGTGTGTTGTTTCAGAATAACTATGGTAAAATCTGGAATGACGTGAAAAAAGATTTGGTAAGATGGGAAAATTACAACTGTCTCTCATGGGGAGAATCTCTGTGATTAAAATGAATGTTTTGCCTAGGATGCTGTTTCTTTTTCAGACTATACCGATTTTGACTACATATTTACCGTTTAAACAGTGGCAGAGAGATATATCTAAGTTCATTTGGCAAGGAAAAAAACCCAAGAATTAAATATAAATTGTTACAAGATGCCAAGGAACGATGAGGTTTGGGTTTGCCTAATTTAAAACTGCATTTTGATGCTTCTTGTTGGCTTTGGATGAAGGAGTGGAAACCTTGGAGAATAAAGAATTATTATAACTTGAAGG